ACCTTTCCTCTGGGGTCAAAAATACCAACTGAAAGATGATGAAATAAAATACTTTATGTAGACCTTTACACATTAAAGTTTCATAGAATGTTTCACATAGCCTTTATTACTATGACACTTCCAATTAAATGAAATAACCGTTTGCAACCAATAAGATGTTAAGGTTTTTACAAGGTGCTTACTCCATCAGAATGTAAGACAAGATATCTCGAATGTAGAACTTTGGACATTCAGGCTTTTAATTATCTGTTGCCCTGTAGTTAGAGTCCACAGTATACCTTGACCCAAACTAGAAGAGTGCAGAGAAACACATATCATACCATTTGGGTCTGAAGCACAATTTTGAAATCATATAAACATCCCAGTGTAAGTCCAATCAACTAGTATATATTAGACACAAAAGACTTCAAGAGGTAAAAATTAGAAGGAATTTAATGGATTGCTTGTTGTCTGCACATTTTTATTTTAAACACTGACTGTGTTTTTTACACATCAACTCATTCAACCACAACAGCCCAATGATTACTCCCCCGTTTAACAGATTAGCGAACTGAGCCACTAAGATGTCAAGTAACAGTCACACCACTAGGATGTAATTTGCATGTACCATTAAGTAAATTCTGTAATCATATCATCCACCTACCGATTTAAGGCTCATTTGGTGGATTGCAATAGAGGAATCCAATGTAAATCTATCCATAAAATTTGTCAATTAAAAGAACAGAGGCTGAAACGGATCTGAAGTGACTACAACTGTGCTCCAAAGTATAGGTATTAGAATTTCCACCAAGAAAACAGGTTGTTTCTCCCTCAAACTCCTTTTAAATAAGAAGCATGTAGTGATCTAAGGAGATATTTTATGATTAGCCCTTCATATGGCTACCAACTGTTTTGAAAGAAATAATACAAATATTTTGCTTAAATTACTCCATAATGTAAACAACCAGAAAAATGAAATACAGCAAAACCTTGGTTTGGGAGCATAATTCATTCCAGAAACGTGCTGGTCATCCCACGCACTTGGTATATCAAAGCGAATTTCCCTATAAGAAATAATGGAAACTCAGGTGATTTGTTCCACAACCCAAAAATATTCATAAAAAAATTATTATAATACTGTAATAAATACAAAATAATAAATAAAGTACAAAATATAAAGAAAAATAAGCAAATTGACCTGCACTTAAAACCTTAATGGCTTCTGTGAGGGACACAAGAGAGAAGACAGTCATTGTAGAGGACGACTTCCAGTATCGCTCATGGAATCACTGCTATCTATTGGCTCAATGGAATCTTTTTCTTCTTGGGGGCCATTGTATATGCTCGCATGGATGTTGACTACAGTACAGTATTAATAAACTTGTCATATACTATATTTAATGTAACGGGAAATAAGGCAGCAGAGGAAAGGGTCTATATCTGCAGGCAGCCTGACCTAGAATGAAGCAAAGCATTCCTAAGCTTCCTCTTTTATGAAAAGCAAAGGACTGTCCATAGGAGCTTTGAAGTGACAAAAAAAAAAACACACAAGTGCCAGTTTTGGACACCTTCCAACATTCTGAAAAATCACTGATTTCTACCAGACACCGAGACCTGAGACTGAGCATCAGAGCATGGGGGATGATCACCCACAATCCTGCAGAGAGAGAGAGAGAGAGAGAGAGAGAGAAGAACCATTAGCTCAGTTGTGATCATTTGGCATCACGTTTGTGACGTTTGGCATCATGTTACCTTGTATTGCAAGACATCACTCGTTTATCAAGTTACAATTTATTAGAAATGTTTGTTCGTCTTGTGGAACACTCACAGAACAGGTTACTTACAATCCAAGGTTTTACTGTATATATTTTCTCTACAATAGAGCATGCCTCAAAAAGCTAAAGAAAAGAGGTAAATGTTTAAATGGGATGTTGGCAGCTCTAAGTGCCTTTGAAGCTTTGGAGAAGTTTTCTTCCATGAAAGCACTCTCTAATTTGCATAACTGGTTCTCATTCAACACCTAATCAGATTTCCCTACTATCAGTAGGCCTGTAAGGTTTTTCCCTCCCTCAGGTACTAGCCACTGCTGAAAGGACATTTTCAAAATTTAGAAATGTATTGAAAAGTCAGTAGAACCCATCACTACAATTAACCATTTCACTCCATGGTCACCAAGAACTAGGAACCGCCTTGCAACAGGGTTAAGGGAAACAAGCATGTATTCTCAGAATTCGCAAAATAAAACTTACGCTGCGGAGTAAGTGGGGTTTTTTGCACCCTTGACTTCTTTTACACATTACTCTTGGTGGTAGCAATGGTAATGGTGGAAATAGATTAAGAGCAGTGGTGGATGTGTTCGCAGTTACAGTAGCTGTTTCTTGTTAATTGTATTTGCAGCACTGTAGTATAGTCAGAGCAAAAATAACTTATTTTAATGTTACAGAGATAGAAGAACAAGAATCATAATGATAGTTTTTATACATTAACAGATTCTTCCATATTTTTACTTATTTCTGTGGGAACAAGATGAGACTTCGCTTTTGCAATTTGGGAAATTGTAGTTCTAGAAAACTTTTTCCTGGTGAAGGCAAGGGGCCGTTAAGGATTTGTATGATTTGAAAACTGGGTTATGGAGAATGGGGAATGATTTTTTTTTGCCAAATATATGTGGAAACATCCAGAGATAAAAATATACATATATGTATCTTTTAAGCATTAATAGTAAGAATTAGACATCTGAAATCATTTATTGTCCTGCATTTTGCAACTCTGTTTTCCTGGGAACTTGCTGCTGCTTTTCTTACACTTGTTTTTGAAAATTAATTTAGTATTGAGTCACAATTATCATATTGCCTTGATTACTGCCCTCTTTATTCTTTAAATCACACAAAGTTTCTTCCATTAGCACATGGAGAATGTAGAATAGAGAAATAACTATTCAGAGCCACTGTCCCTTACAGAGCATTCTCAGAGTATAATTTAATCCTTTCATTGAAAGATCATACCTGCAGGGGTGCCTGGTTGGCTCAGTCAGTTAAGCATCCAACTCTTGATTTCAGCTCAGGACATGACCTCATAATCTGACAGTTTGTACAGTTTGTGAGATCAAGCTCTGCGTTGGTCTCTGTGCTGACAGCACGGAGCCTGCTTGGGATTCTCTCTCTCCCTGTCACTCTGCCCCTTCCCAGCTTGTGGTTTGTCTCTTCTCAAAATAAATAAATAAACATTAAAAAAAAAAAAGAAAGATCATACTTATATAGGATTTTTGTATCTACCTAAATGGTGAAAATATAAACAAATACATCATAGATCCTGAAAAATAGTTACTCTTCATCTTTATAATTTTCATAATGTGATATTCACTTTGAACATTGATGATGACTCAAATTTTACAGGGAAATAAAATTAAAGTGATGACTGTGTCACTGTATCTTAATATCATTTAGTAAACTTGAGATATGTGAAATTGCAATTGTACAAAATTCTGCTGAAGGCAAATGAAATTTATTTTGAAGCATATTACTTGGCATTTGAAAACAAGAAGTAATCAATGATTAAAATACATGGTAAGATTTTAATAGTTAGAAATACATTTTTTAAAGTGAATAGCTAAAATGTAATTATGCTCTTAATGAAAAACGAAAAGGAAGTCAAAGGAATAAGACATTGCTAAAAGAAATTAATTTCCAAGTAAATAACTGCAGATTTAAATTTCCAATAACTTATCTAGAAACCATAACTGAGAATTTGAAACAATAATGACCACAATATGCCAATGAAAGCTTTATTTAGACCATGAAGTGAAGTAACAAAAACTTTAACACTTTTTTAGAGGTTTAAATCTACACAATTTTGTGTGTTTCTTTAAACTCTTGCTTGTTTTATTTCATTAATTCTTTTGAAAATAGAAAATGATCTATAGTAGTCTCAGGTAGCTAGTTAACTTGTGATCGCCTAAACATTACAATTGCATTATCACAAATAATTTGCTTTGGGTTTTACTGTGTGTGTGTGTGTGTGTGTGTGTGTGTGTGTGCCTTTTTACATATATGTTCTTAATTGTGCATTTCTTAGCTTAATATTAAAATTAGTTATCATTCACTGAGATGACCGTCCTCTCAGGAAGCAAAAGACCTTGGAGGCAAGAAGCCAGTATTGGATTAACAATTTGTCATGGATAATACACAAAGTAAATAAAGCCAATGTGAATAATTGGAAGTAGGCAGAGTTATAACATAAGAGCTATTGAAAGTTAATTCAATATGAAGTTCTTTGTAGTTAATTCTCTCTCATTATCCAACGACTAGAATAGGCTGCCATTGATAACTTTCTAAAGAGAGTCATTTGTGCATTATTAGTGCCTTACCCTTTTATCTGTAACATATAATGCTTTTCTTCTTGATAGAGTGCTAGTATTATAATAACTGAGCAATGTACAAGTTTTTCTATGGGTGTTTAACATTCTTTCAATTTTGACAAAAAGGTTTAGAATGTTTTCTGCATTTTAGTGTTGAAGATATCCATGTGTGGTTTCTAAAACGTCCTGAACTGAGATTATAGTTGAAGAAATGCAATTAAACTTTGTGAAAATGCAATTAAACATCATGAAAATGCATTCATTTGTAAAAAGGACTTGCATGTTCAGCTAGTGTTAAAATAACAAGGGATTAATAATGGCAGATTGAATATTTGAATTACACACCATACTGTATTACCTTTTTAGCCTGATGATCTCTCCCACAGTCCACACTTTCCCACAATTAAAACTGTACATATTCTAGATTTCTGATTTACCAGCCTGCAAGGTACTACAAAATCATATGAGACTTTGTTCCTTAATCCAGACTGTTGTTTATCAGACGTTAAGACATTCATTATATTCCTTTTTTTAGTTACTTTGATATTTTATTTTCAAAATAAATAACGGAGTATTTATTTTGCAACGGAGTTGGAGGTACTTTAATTAAAATTTTCTATGGGATTTTCCTTAACTTATTTCCTATTTTTTTTTCCAACTACAGGTTTCATATACACTGGAGAAGTCGTACATCGAATGCTAACAGCCACACAGTACATAGCACCTTTAATGGCAAATTTCGATCCCAGTGTATCCAGAAATTCAACAGTCAGATATTTTGATAATGGTATGTACTTGCCAGCCTGTTCTTTATTGAATGTGTACTTTCAGACATCGATCATCAGATTCATATTAATATTTAATGCCCTGGAGTTTTTCTGGTAAGCTGGATTGTAAATCGCTTGATGCAAATGCCTTGAGTCGACAAATATACTGTAACTGTTAATACGTGGCTTGAAGTGTGTGGTCACATGTCACTTATTTATTCATTCATTTATTGGTTCAACAACTCTTTATTAACACCTCTCTTAGGCACTGTAATAAATGAGTTGCTGTCAATGACTTTTTGAACAGAGCAAATAGATTCATTTAATGCTATTTGCAATAAGTCCTTATTGTTGAAAAAACTAAATACGGATAATTTGTTATCTTCAAATAGAGGCAAGTGGCATAATACTTGGATATTAAATTTCCAAAACTTATGAAGGATATGTACCATAAGATGAACACACCTTTTAAAAAATACATAGCGGATAGTTAAAATACACTTATGAAAATCAAGTTCTCCTGACTTTAAAATAGGAAATAGAGCCTACCAGGGTTTGTCAGGTATACTGACAATCTATCCTTACTATTTATTATTTGAGGACATATAAAATAGCGAAAACCTTGACTATATCACTGACTGCTATTGAAATCTAAGTGAGGAATTTCGAGTTATGAAGACCTTCAGATAAATGGATTTTGTGTCTCTATCTTTTGGAAGGCTACATGACTTTAGAAGAGAAAATATGAAAGGAAAAGTTTGTTTTGAAAAATCGAAGATAGAAATTTCTGTACTGTGTAATACAAAAATAGTATTTATTTGCCAAAATGACGATTTCATCTTTTAAAATTATGGAACTATTTGGTGTGAACAGTTATTTCTACTCTTAATGACCAAGGAAGAAATTTACTGGTGGGTAGTATAGACTTAATAGTGACAGTAGCGTTGGGGAAATGTGATCATTTTGCTAAAAGCAATCTTCTGACCAGTGCAATGAACCCATTTTACAGATCAAAATAGCAAACAAAGAAGGAAACTAAATGTAGTTAGCTATATGCTCTGAGAAACACATTTCAAACGATTTGAGTAGCACAAAGGTATGTTCCAAGATTAGGTAACTCTGAATGTTAGCCATAATAATTACCTCCCCTATTATTTTAAGAGCTATCAAACGCTATCCTACCTTAAAAATATGAGGTGCTAAAGACAAGGGTGTCCAAGTAGATTGTAAAGATACTTGGGGTAAAACTATAACCAGACACTTACCTGAAACTTATTCCATGACCTTCCAGACAGAATCACCTTAGTAAATGATTTGATGAAAGTTGATTATTTTCTAAGCTCTGTCACTTACTAGATGATGTTAGAGACATTTGTTCATGGGGACAGAATTCTGATAACCGACTTTTCATAATATTAACATCAAAATCATAAAGCATAATGACATAAGTAAGTCTCTCCAATAACCACATAGGACAGTGTAGCAACTCATGTGGTCTGATATATGAACATAAGTAACACCTTCATCTTTAAGCTAAGGAAGAACGTCACTAGATCTTGCGCCCATCATGAAAGAAATGGTGTAGGGTTGACAGTCATGGGCTAGGAAATGGACCACGCTAACTCAGCTCCTTAGAAATGTAAATTCCATTCTTCAACCCAAGGTTTTCTTTTGACAGTATATACTTTCACATCATAATTGTCCAAGAAAAGTGCCTCCCTGGTTTACTTACCCAATTGCTCCCTCCAGAACAATAGGTGAGTTGGGGGCTACTTGGAGAAATAGAAGATTTTATCTCCAAAAGCCACTCCCACCATCCTGTAGATCATAAAGTTTTAGATTTCAGTAACTTTTTTAAAAAAAAATTTAAGTTGATTTATTTATTTTGAGAGACAGTGTGAACAGGGGAAAGGCAGAGAGAGAGAAGGACAGAGAGAATCCCAAGCAGGCTCTGCAGTGTCAGCACAGAGTCCGATGTGGGGCTCGTACTCAGGAAACCCTGAGATCATGACCTGAGCTGAAACAGAGTCTGACGCTTAACCAACTGAGCCACCCAGGAACCCCTCAGTACCTTTTAATAAAAGAGGAAACTTAAAATATTGGTTATTTGACAAAACAGGATAGAGATAATTTAGCTTTAAATTTAATAACATTTACACTTAAATAATCTTTCAGTTGTGTAGGAACCACTCAGTATGTACATAGAACCATTCAAATTAATAAATGTTGGGAGAGCTATAATGGTTCTACTTAAAATAAAAAAACTTATTTTAAAGTAACTAATTGTTATTTTAAAAAGCCTGCTACTGACAATATATTAATATCTTCAGCGCACCTGGGTTGCTCAGACTTTAATTGAGCATCTGATCACGTCATGATCTCAGGGTTCGTGGGCTTGAGCCCTACATCGGACTCACTACTGTCAGCCTATCAGCTCAGAGCCTGCTTTGGATCCTCTGTCCCCCTCTCTCTGCCTCTCCCTCACTTGTTCTCTCCCAAAAATAAATAAATACTTTAAGAAAAAAAGGAAAGAATATCTTGGAGTGCCTGGGTGGCTCAGTTGGTTGAGTGTCCGACTCTTGATTTCAGCCTCAGGTCATGAAACCAGGATCATGGGATCAAGCTCTGCATCGGGTTCCACATTGAGCATGGAGCCTGCTTGTGATTCTCTCACTCTCCCTGTGCCCCTCCCCAACTCACACACATGCTCAATGAATGAATGAATGAGTGAATAAATAAATAAATAAATAAGAATATCTTCATCAGAAGATATTTTGCATTAAAGACATTTAATTACTCCATTTATATGGATCTTTCTTTGGCACAAAATTTGAGGTAACTGTATTTCCTTGTATTTAATGCAGAAATCCCTAGAAAGCAAGAACTATTCTGCCCTCCCCCACCATGTTGTAGCAGAACAAACAGGTTCACGCAGGTGTGTCCAAGGCCTTGCAAAAAGTTGTAGAGGCAAGACAGAGGATAGGTCTTCTGCCCTCTCTTTTGGTGTTTTGTCTGTACCATTTAAGTGCCTAACAGAAATTAATGAATAAAAAAGAGACTAGAGTTTGAGAGTTGCCAACATGCATGAAGGAAAAATGGCACCGTTAGTAGGCATTTCCTGATCAGAAACCCCTTTACTTCTATGCGTATGGAAGTTTCCTGCCTATTATTATCCTCATACCGTCTGATATTTAAAAAAGTGTAGTATAGATACATAGATGCCGATAAAAGAAGAGACTCGAGTTTTCACTTGGAACACGGATTCATGGTGGTGTTCCCTATGTTTAAAAGCACCCAGATAAAATCCAAAAGAATTTTTTTGGGATTCTAAATGTTTACCTCAAAGAAACAAAATACATTGCTATATTGAAAGTGTACAAGGTGATGATTTCATATATGTATACATGGCAACAGGAATCCCACTGGGAAGTTAATTAACACATCCATCAACTCACATATTTACCTTTTTTTTTTTTTTTTTTTTGGTAAGAACAGTTAAGTTTGACTCTCAGAAAATTTCAGTTATGCAATACAGTATTAGAAACTACAATCACCATGTTATGTATCAGATCCTTAGACCTTATTTGCAGTGTGTATGAAAGTTTGTACATTTTTACCAACCTCTTGCTATTTTCTTCATCCCCTAACTCCTGGCAACCAATATTCTAAACCAGTAACAACTGGCAACCAGTATTCTGAAATGTATTTCTGTGAGTTCAACTATGTTTTGTTTTTAAATTCCACATGTAAGTGATACTATGTAGGTTTTCTTTTTCTCTCTTTGGCTTCATTTCACTTAGCATAATGATCCATTTATGTTGTTACAAAGGCACAATTTTACTCCTTTTTAAGGCTGAATAATATTCCTCACTGTGTGTGTGTGTGTGTGCGTGTGTGTGTGTGTGTGTGTGTTCTTTATCCATTCATCTGTAGATGAACACTTAAGTTTATGAATAATGCTGCAGTGAAAAAGAGAGTATAGATATCTCTTTGAAAAGGGATTTTGTGGGGCGCCTGGGTGGCGCAGTCGGTTAAGCGTCCGACTTCAGCCAGGTCACGATCTCGCGGTCCGTGAGTTCGAGCCCCGCATCAGGCTCTGGGCTGATGGCTCAGAGCCTGGAGCCTGTTTCCGATTCTGTGTCTCCCTCTCTCTCTGCCCCTCCCCCGTTCATGCTCTGTCTCTCTCTGTCCCAAAAATAAATAAACGTTGGAAAAAAAAATTGAAAAGGGATTTTGTTTCCTCTGGTATGTACCCCTAAAGTGGGAATACTAGATCATACTACAGTTCTAATTTTAGTTTCTTGAAGAAACTTTATACTGTTTTCCATAGTGGCTGTGCCAGTTTACATTTCAAACAGACTACATGGTTTTCCTGTTCGCCACACCATCTCCAGCATTTGTTATCTCTTGTCTTTTTATCGCAACAGGTGTGAGGTGATATCTCATTGTGCTTTTGACTAGTATTTCCGTCATGCCTGGTGTCAAGCACCCTTTTATATCCTGTTGGACGTTTGTATATCATCTTTAGAAAAATGGCTATTTAGGAGTCTCCTTTGATTCATCTTATTTTGGTTTTGGGTCTTCCTGGATCTGAATGTATGTTTATTTCTCCAGATTAGAGAGGTTTTCAGCCATTATTTTTTTGAACAAGCTTTCTTTCCCTTTCTTTCTCTCTTGTCCTTCTAGGATTCTTATAATATGAATATGGGTCTGTTTGATTGTGTCCCATACATTTCTTAAGCCATATTTATTCTTTCCTTCTTTTTTCTTCTTGCTTCTCTAACTGGATGATTTCCAATTCCCTGTCTTTGAGTGCATTAATGCTTTCTTCCACTTGACCTACTCTGTTGTTGAACCACTCTATTAAAATTTTCATTTTAGTTATTGTATTCTTTATCTCTTTGATTTCTGTTGAGTACTTTTTAATGTTCTCTATATCTTTGTTGAAATTCTCACTTTGTTCATGTATTGCTTTTGTAACCTCAGTGAGCATCTTTATGATTGCTACTTTGAATTCATTTGGGTAAATTAACTTACTGCTGTTTCATTAAGATTGGTTTTGGGAAATTTATCTTGCTCTTTTGTTTGGAACATATTTCCCTACTTTTTTTTTTTCATTTTTCTTGGCCGTGTTAGTTTCTGCACATTAGATAAAATAGCAGACTCCTTGAATCTTGTCAAAGTGGCTTATGCAGGACACAAAGCACATCAGTCAGTCCCGCCCAAGCTCCTGGTTATCTCTCAAACCTCTATGATTGTCCCTGCTACTGTTTTTGTTCTTGGTGGTTCCCAGTAGTCGAGAATGTGCCAAGAAGCCATCAGTGTTTCAGAGAGCAGGATCACAGTCAACACCTACATGCAGGGTTTACCTGTGGCCAGACCCTCAGGCAGGAGCTAAGAACGTATGCAAAGTACTTCTGGGGAGAAACTGAGATAGGCATTTTTTCCTGGTCTTTCTGCACCAAGCTGGGATATATATAGCCATAAGGGGGTGCTCCTTCACCCATTTAGAAACTGTTTATTTGCCATCATCTTCTAGGTCTTGTAAATATAAGCCTCATTGGCTATCAGAGCAAGGTGATTTGGGTGCCTAAAACCTGGATGACAGCTGTAAAAGTGGGGACACTAGATGTATGGACTATTTCTTTCAAGATAGATACTGGCAACTTTGTTTTATTGTTGGAGTTATCTGGAGGGAGATGGTGGGGGAAGTGCTAATTGGCTCTCTTTGGCCATGGGAGGATAACAGTCAGCACCTAGATGAACTAAGTAGAAGCTGGACAGTCATGCTACAGCTTACAAAGTAGGTAGTCACACCCCTTCCAGGGAAAGACTAGGAGATGGGCATTTTTGCCTGCTCTCTCTGCTAAGCCCTGGGTTAGGTGGGGGAGGGGGAGGATAGCCATGGCAAGTACCCAAGGGCACACCTGTTGCTTCTTTGTTTGCTACCATCCTTGGGACTTGCAATGCAAATCCAGTTGTCCGTAAGAACTAGGTGATCTGGGAGCCTGGCTCTCAGGCTGCAGCCACAAAAGCTGGGTGCCTGACATGTGTGCAAGCTCTTTTCCAGAAGGATGTTGCTGACCTGGTTTTGTTGTCAGAGTGAGCAAAAGGGAGAAGGTGGAGAAAGTGCCCACTGGCTCTTTTGGGCTCCGGAGAGGATCACAGAACCCAGATGCATGCAGTTTCAATGTGGGTATTTTCTCAGTTGCCCAAATTATAGCAGTTATTCAGCTTTCGATTTCTCCCACAGGAAACTGTTCTGTGTGTAGCTACACGTGTGTTAGGTGTGTTCCAAGGGAGGAGGGAAATTCAGAAGCCTACTATGTCCCCATCATGGTTAAAAGCTTTCAGCAGTAAGTTGAACTCAAAAACACAGTGAAGACAGTATTCTGTTTTACATCAATCATCAGGTACAGGAATTAACTCACGAGCAGTCAGATGGATGAAGTGCACAGGGCAAGGTATGTGGGAAGAGGTACGGAGCTTTACACACCAGGACACTCCCGGGCACACCACCCTCCTAGCACTTCTGCATCTTCACTAACCCACAAGCTCTCTGTCGTACGATCTTGGTTTTTCTTTTTTCCTTTTTAATCACATGTTTACTGACCTGGAAGATAAGCTTATCTCTTTTGGTTCTGTGAATTTCATTTTCTGTAAAACATTTTTCATTTCTGTAAAACATTTTTTCACAGAATGTAAACAGGACTATTTTTTAACCAAACAAAAAATCCAATACTTAGAACTAAGCAAAAGCCTTAGCTCCTCATTTGTTTTCTTTTAGAAAAAAAAAAAAAAGAAAGAAAAAAAGAAAGAAAAGACACAATGTCCGTTAAAACAAAACTATGAATTCTCATTGGTGGCTATTAAACTGTTTCAGTTTATATTTCGTGTTAATAGTTTTATGGCAAATACTGGCAGATTGACTCATCAGAATATGATACATACCACTGAAGACTCATTTATCCCAGTGTACTTGAGCTTGAAGGGGACTTCAGAAATCTTTGCCTAGGGCCCTTTAAGCTACCTTGCAGCCTCTTTGAAGCAGTACAACAAAGAAAGAAATACAGGCATTGTGAACCAGAGAAGAAAATTCCCATTAGTGTTGGAATTTTTTTCAGCATGGAAGAGTATAATTCTAAGTATGGAAGAGACATTTTCAGGTCTTTTACAAGTGATTCTAGCTTTCCTGAATGTGTTCGTTTTTTTTCCTAGCATTTGTCAAATATATTTGAAGTGCATTCAATCCACTTGGGCTGCATTTTGAAAGTGGCTCATAGAAATTTAAGCAGACAGTACCCATTAACATGAATGGACTTCCTAAGGCAAAATTCCCTCATACTGGGCTCAATATTAACCTCGGTATGAGATTAGATTTTACTAAATATTTAGAGAATACTCAATTGTTTAAAAATATCTCAAATACAATTTCAATAAAGAATTCCAATTAACCGTATAAAATTCAAGTAGCACAACTACTAGATTTGAAGACTATATGCATGGTTTTGTGAAGTCTCTCACCTGAATTCATTGGTATATTTTTATCAATGTGTTTCTTCTGTTTCGATGGGGTTGATAGGCACAGCACTTGTTGTCCAGTGGGACCACGTACATCTCCAGGATAACTACAACCTGGGAAGCTTCACATTCCAGGCAACCCTCCTCATGGATGGACGCATCATCTTTGGATATAAAGAAGTAAGTAATATATTGATGATTTCCTTTCCCCTTGATCTTGACCTCTATCTTTTTCTCCAAGTGTTAAGAAAGGGTCATTTTACAGTCATGAACCTCAAATCATTTTCTCATGTGTTGGTTTGTTTTGCTTCATACAAAAAAATTTTTAATATACTAGGTGGCACTGATTGTTAATTCTTTGGGTTTTATTTTATATCCTGACATTATGATCAATGAGTTGCATAAAATTATGAAACAATTATATCCTAGTGGTATTATAATGAAATATCTCAGGGAAAAAAATATTTCCAACTTGGAAGGATTTCTCATCTAAATCTGATTATTTATATTTATTTTTTTGTTTGTTCTTCCTTTGTCTATTTCTGTGACATATTTTGGCTCTAATTCCAAAAGTATTAGTATATACGAAAGCTTGTGTGGCTCAATGCCCCAGTACTGAAAGCAATCAGGACCCATAATTCCTTTGGCCAGTATTTATTTCACCCTGAGAGGAAAAATTAATTAGAGGTCTAAGTGACAGAAAGAATAATGGAACTCAAACTTATGGTTTGCTTCATTTTACCAAATTAACAAAGTAAAGAATGGAAATGTATTAAATTATAGCCTTAAATTTACAGAATGTCTAAATTAGAATTATAGTATGTTAAGTTTAAGAACTCTGTTGACAGTATAATTAAGGACTAATAGACATCCTAAACTTTTAGGGAAGAAAACAAAGAATACAAGAATAAAATTCCAGGAACAGTTGTGCGATATTTTAGGTAGTCACTAGGCGTGAGAGGAATTTTGACAATGTGAATTGATGATGGACAATTATTAGTCCATGGGTTAATGGATATTTATAATAACATAGACTCAGTATCTTATGTGAAGAGTTATTTTTTTCTTGGCAAATGAATCCCTGGCTATTTAAAAATTATTCACTTTGGTTAAGTCTTCTGAAATGCATCTTTTCTATAAAGTGAGGGACAGTTATATTTTAATGACATAAGTCAACCTTTGAAAATCTTATAATCGTTTTAAATATTTCCACTCCTTTGAAGAATTCTTCCATGTGGAATATAATATAGGATCTGGTCTGCTTGGTGCTTCTTTATCCAGAGCTATGTTTTGATATCATAGTCTATCATTCATATATAATATGAATATATATATTATATATATATGGTGTATCTATAGTGTAATCTAGTGTAATCCTGGAACTGCATAGTGACATTATGGAATGTTAGTTTTCAACTATTCTAACCAATGGTGGGAAGTTTTCTGGAAAGATGCAGAGTCCGTAAGTCTAGGGTCTTAAATCTCAATAACTGTAGGCATTTTTGAAGCAGAGGTTTGTGTTTGTACTGTGGTCTCTGTCTCTAGTCTTTATTATCAAAATTGTCATCTTTATTTACATTTTCTCCATGGGTGTCTCACCTAGCAGAGTAGCAGTTCATTTTCCCTATTCCTTCTTTGTAGGGGGTTTGGTATTTTTAAAATATTTTTTTATTTTCTTTATTTTAACCAAAGAAGAATTTTCCACTATGGTTTTCCTGTTTTGTCATGGGTAACATTATACCAGTAGGCAATTTTAACACTTTCTTTATATTCCCAGACTATTATCCTACTGAACATTAGTCCTTCTGAACTCAGAGTTCTAAAGAAGTCATTACTTTATTATTTGCCTTGCCCTTTCTCTGTCCTGGTTAGAAAGCAGTTTTCTATTTCATATTCTACCTTTTTTTTTCTGATAATTGCCATGAATTTCATTTTGTTGATGCAAATTTCTATTTGTAAAATTTGCCACAGTAAGGGTTCCCTTGCATTTGAGGGAAAGCTAGATGCTCCTGACACTTCTAGAAAAACATTTACAATCACAATAGCATAAAATAGCTGTTTGCATAATGTATTATCCTTAACAAAATGCTTTCACATATAGTATAGTTTTCAATTCTTCAACAATGTCCTATATTCTCAATATTCATAAAGGCACTGACACATGAAAGTAATAATAAATGTGTGTGGCTTAATTATGGAATTAGATCATACATAATTATCTTTATTTTATAGCTAAGCAGACTGAGTCGGAAAGGTTAAATGGCATGCTTGTGGGCACAGAACTAGTTAAGGACAAATTCAGGACTAAAGGCTCTAATTTGGTAATCTCAAAATACCTCCACATTTTTTTTCTTTCTCAAGGACATTATGCATAGCAATTCACAAGTCTATTTCTTATTTGTTTTTTAAAAATATTGGTTAATGTTTGGTGTTTAAGGATCTTTTTTTCTGACTCCAACAGATGACACAATCACAATCTCACAAAGTTAGAAGTATTCTGAGTTAAGGTGTAGAGCTAACAAAATTGTAAAGACATAATAAGAGTATAATTTTGTGTTCCTGTCCAGCTTAAACTTGCAAAATCAACATTATAGATAGGGAAGTAAAACACAATTCTTTCTGTAATAGTTGCTACTAACTGGCTAAGCCAACTTTGTTTTATTTTATTTTATGTTACTCATTTCATTTCATTTTGTGTGAATGAGAAGAAAAAAATCTGATTTATGCAGAAACTACCAATAGAGGACTTGTTTAAATCGTAGAGTAAAATTAGTAATGCATCAAGTAAACTTACTGATGCAAATTTCATCTTTATTTCCATCAAGTGATTTATGTCAGTAGCTAATGATGTTTCCTGTGTTAACTGTTAATGTATCAACTGCCCATCCTAACCACTCAGATGTCTTTCAACTCTCATGTCCCATGTATGGTCATTTTTCCAACAGCATAATTTTTCATGTGCCAACCAGATCAATAATGGTCAATAAATGAGAACATATATTTGCACTTATACTAATCTGGCTTGTAATATGATTAAGATAGGGAAGTACTACTGATGTTTAAAATAAGAGTGAACACAGATTTGCTCCTGGCATTTGATGGTCCTTCACCACAGTCCCAATGTTCTCTTAGCCATACTAGTGAGAGAAGTCATGGCAGCATGGATTCATTTAAAGAAGTAAGCTATCTCTCCTGATTGTCACTCTGTATTCTGGAACCAAAGATTTAAAATTCTGTTTTAAGTTATTGTTACGCAGCTGTTTATTGTAGTTAACTTCAAAGAAATAGTTTACTTAGGATGAAGCCAAATCACAAAAAACATACTGTCTTTTTCTTAATTTCCTGTCAGATTACCAACTGTTCCCTTTATGAATGCATTTTCCAATTTCACAGTATCCATTTGTTTCTTGTGCATAGATTTAATTACCTGATAAAATTAACCATCTTCTCATCTACTGACTTAATATATTAATAACAGTTCCTTTAAAGTTCATGGCTGATAACTAATATCTAGATTGCCTCTGGGTCTCTTTCTATCAGCTGTATTTTTTTTTCTTTTCCTCTAGATTTTCATTCATTGGTCATGGCTTTTTTTGTGTTAATTAATTAATTTATTTTTAATTTACATCCAAGTTAATTAGCATATAGTGCAACCACGATTCCTGCCCCTTACCCATCTAGCCCATCCCCCCTCCCACAATCCCTCCAGCAACCCTTTGTTCTCTATATTTAAGAGTCTTTTATGTTTTGTCCCCCTCCCTGTTTTTATATTATTTTTGTTTCCCTTTCCTTATGTTCATCTGTTTTGTATCTTAAATTCCTCATACACCTGAGTGATGTCATATGATATTTGTCTTTCTCTAATTTCACTTAGCATTTTATACCCTCTAGTTCCATCCACGTAGTTGCAAATAGCAAGATTTCATTCTTTTTGATTGCTGAGCAATACTCCATTGTATGTGTGTACCTTTTCATCTTTATCCATTCACCCTTCAGTGGATATTTGGGCTTTTTCCATACTTTGGCCATTGTTGATAGTGCTGCTATAAACATTGGGGTGCATGTTCCCCAATGTTTGAAATCGCACACGTGTATCCCTTGGATAAATACCTAGTAGTGCAATTGCTGGATCATAGGGTAGCTGTATTTGTAACTTTCTGAAGAACCTCCATACTGTTTTCCAGAGTGGCTGCACCAGTTTGCATTCCCACCAGCAGTGCAAAAGAGATCTTCTTTCCCTGTATCCTTGCCAACATCTGTTGTTGCCTGAATTGTTAACGTTAGCCATTCTGAGAGGTGTGAGGTGGTATCTTGTGGTGGTTTTGATTTGTAGTTCCATCATGATGAGTGATGTTGAGCATTTTTTCATGTGTCTGTCAGCCATCTGGATGTCTTCTTTTGTGTCTATTCGGCTGTGTCTCCTTTTATGCTAGATAATTTTTGATTGAATGTTGGGCATTGTTTACAAACTACTAAAGGAATAGATGGAGGTTGTGGACATTGTTTTCTTCCTCCAGAGAGGGTTTACATTTTTTGTTTGACAGGTAGGATGGAACAGATTACTTTTTTTTAATTGGCAAACATTTCTAATTTTTCCAAATTTTTATTTAATTCTAGTTAATTAACATATAGTGTAATATTTATTTCAAGAATAGAATTGAGTGATTCATCACATACATATAATATGCAGTGTTCAACATAAGTGCCCTCCTTAATACCAAACAGATTACTTTAATACTGTCAGGGCTAAGCTCTTTCAAAGTTGAGCATTAGTTCTTGTAAAGACTGCTAAATTTTGGGTTAGCACTTACTTTTAGAAAGTAGTCCTTCGGGGGCACCTGGGTGGCTCAGTCAGTTGAGCCTCCGACTTCGGCTCAGGTCATGATTTCACGGTTTGTCTGAAGTTTTGTTCAGTTTCTCAATGTCTGAATCTTGCTTGTAAATTACCAAATGCCTTGACAGGAAGGTGGTATTGCATTCACTTCTGTGATTTCCTCTCTCTGGAATCTTGGCTTTTCAAGTCTTTGCTCTTTGATGGCCACCTGATGCCTTCAACGGGTGCTTTCCATATGTTATTTATCTTTCCTGCTTGATCTCAGTAGGAGAAATGGTCTCTTACCAGTTTGTCTGCCATAACCAGAAATCCCATTCACTTTTAACAACAATCCCCTAATTTGATA